TATATTTATATTTATATCTATATTTATATTTGTATTTATACTTATATATATGTTAAAAACTGAATCAGTATGACCTCGACAGCTTCTCAGCTGAAGTTCAGTTCCAAATGGTTAACTTCAGTAGGGCTCAACAGCAGTGTAACAACCAAGATATTCCTAAGTGTTTGTCGATATTTTCTGTGCTAACAACGCAGAAAAAGTCGATACCACAGAGATCGAAGGAGGTTAAAGTAGGCCACCCAGACGAGTGAAAATTTTATAATTCTCAACCATTTTAAATTTATGCACTATTAACAAATATAAAAAAAAAGTCAACTGTATTATCACAGACTGGAAGAATCTGCAAAATTTCTAATACTTCAAAGTTGCAAAATCTAATCTGAAAATTTCAGTAATTTTAGATTTTTTTTGTGTAAAAAAAAAATTCTTGCTGCTAGTCATCTCTATGAGTCGACGTTCAACGCTGATAGCACTGCAACTGACCAAATAAAAAGCTGAAGTCACACCGCAAAAAATATAAGATATTAATTACTCTGTATCGTGCTAAAGAACCTGGACACTGGAGCGGTAAGAAACTGTCATTTACGAATAGATCACACCAAAACATCTAACGGCTGATTCTTTAAAATTGCAAAAGATCATTAAAATACTTATGAAATTTCTTAAGGAAAAATGGTCTCTCTTAAATTGAGCTTGTAAGGATCAGATAATACAAATAAGCGTAGTGTTTTCTTGTTAGCGCTGTCTAAATTTGAAGATTTATACTTGATGATGTAAGTGGATATTGTTAAATGAATACACTTGGTGCACATTGCTGACAGATGTGTGTTTACAGTATATACCCTGTTATGCATATTTCATGTTATATATATATATAAAGGAACACTAGTAGGCAGTGTCGACCAAATGATAGAATCATCGCTGTAACACTGATGCTGCCTGCAAATTCCTTTTCCTGTACCGGTATTTTCAAATTCGACTTGCAGCACCAATTTAAATTACTGTGTTTTTCAAATTTTTTACAGCGGCTAAATTTGAGTTTTGGATTGATGTTGTTGCATCAGATTTTATATGAGATGAACGAAGATTCCTAAGATGTTTGTCTCGGTGAAGCTTCCAAATATTCATCGGATTATTGACGTTTGCCAAGAGCAACCGAAGTTTATTTAAGTTTATTTCGAAATTCTGGGATTTGCCACACACAGCGTATAATATTAATACATTATATTTGTATCGTACCTTTGACGTATATTTGCGGTATATTTGGGTTGAAAATTAGCGGTAACAGGTTTATCGCTACAGAGATGCGTAATTTCCTCAGTATTCAATTTTTAGAGCATTTCTTCATCCGTTGGGTTTACGTGACGTGTATCCATTGCTTGAAAACCCTAAACAATTCGATGAATGAATCAGTTTTCCTACTGTTGTTAATGAACAGTTTTATATTTAAATATTTTTATACTTCAAATAGTGTGAACTCATGGAATATATTGTCGCAACCTTTAAACTATTTTGTGATACAAACTGCGGATTCAGTCAAAATAAAATACCAGTTAAAGTTACAATGATTATGAAAATTTGCTATTTTTTTCTCAATGGCTTTTTGTCATTAAAAAGCTAGATTTGTATCAAAAAATTTTATTCATTTAAACAAGGCACTTGTTAACATGAGCAAAACATTGACAGGCGTTCTGGAGCTGCGGAAACATTGAATATGTAGCGCTGTTAAAAATGTCGTTCCGAAACTCGTCTTGTCTTTATCAAAAGTTTTCATATTCTGTGAGTGCGTCTTATGCCAGTACTATTTTAAATATATTAAGCGCTATAGTCGGGATTTTATAGCTGGTTTTCGTTCATTGAAGTAGTGCTTGTCCAATCAGGTAAAATAAGAGGGATATGGTTACCATGAAAGGCTGTGATAATTTGCGCCGTTCCAAATTAAGTCTGTCGTTCTGGAATATGTACTTTTTTTTCTATAGGTTGTGGGGATGTCGACAAATAGACAGTCGTCTTTGTTATCATTTTTTGGGAAGACCCCGAAAAAGGATGCACCGGCGAAATCAGGGACGGAACGAAAAGCCGTATGTTTTGCTAAAAAAGCATTTTTGTGTATTTCTCTAATAGTTTCAGCTTCAAAATTCACATCTTGTGGCTGGCAGAAATGCAAGCATTGATTTTTCACATTTATATTTCGCTGTCTAGTTCTTCCTCTAGATGACTCCAAAACAGGATGGAGGTGGTGGTGGACATTTGCGAGTACGTAAAACACTTGCCAAGGTATCTCCGTCAGAAATTGGTTAGCATTTACTGAAAAAAACTTGTCGAGAGTTCTTAAGAATTATTTGATTTAGAATTTTTTGCTAGTGTACTTCTTCTGAGTTCATTTGAGTCTTAATACCCTATTTTCCAGGACGGTAGTATAATATTTGTAGGAGTTATATATGTTTCCAGCTTTATTTTTCAAAGCGTGTGAAATAGAGCTTGTTTGAGCTGATATTTTTTGGCTTCCTGACTTTTAAATACTTATCAGCTCTTCAAAGTGTATTAATAGGGGGAAGCAATTAAGTATTTCAATCTCACAGTGTCTTTCGACAATAATAAATTATCGGTTGCTCTTATGTTTAGTATAATCACATCTGCCTTTATACAAGGCTATTTTTCTTCTATAGTCGTTATTTCCTCTTGTAATGTGTCATTATCTAATTTTTTT